TAATATGTACTATTAATGCTGTGATACTGTGATACTCAGATACTGTGATTTCCTTCTCACATTGCTGATTTCACCATTACCTCTTCATCTGAACAGTTTATGTTGCTGTATATGGTATCATTGTAATCCTTGACCATCAAAACATAGGGGTAGGCATCACCTTTTCTGTGTTATCATGTTTGGTTCAGGAGCTATGACACAAAATACATCATTTGGTTATGGCAGAAAGTAAAATGGTCGCCATGACAACCACAAGGTGTTTTTGCGGTGGCTCCATTTCTGAAAATGTTTAGGGCCACAAACTATTCAAGTGTACCAAGTTTCATGTTTTTATGAAAAAGTGAACATTATTTTCACATATCACCTGGACTATATGTAGTTTAATTAAACTCACTATATGTATATATACAAAAATGGGACAATAATAGTTCACAATCTGTTATGTTGCATCATTATGCTAGTGCTTTAAATTATTACTTAAGTGCTTTTTCACATCTATCTACACCCCAAACCACATAACGACAAAGCAAACAATATATTTCTGATAACTTCACAAATTTATTAAAAAGGAAAAAAATATATATAAATATAAAAAATAGAATATATCATTATATTGAATTATAAAATGTACTTCAGGGGGAAATAACGTACATTTAATGGTATTTTTTTAATGTATTGCTTTTTTATATATTTATTAATATTTAAGAATATTTCATATAATATATTTTAAAATATATTTTTATATATATTATCTGAATATTTTCTTTGTACAGCATAATGACTTGTGATGACTGTGCAAATTTATTAAAAAGGGAAAACTGAGATAATTACATTGCATAAGTATTCACACCCTTATCTCTGTACTTAGTTGAAACACCTTCAGATAGTGCCTTAAAGCCTTAAGTGTTTTTGAGTATAATATGACAAGCTCTGCACATCTGCTTTTGGCAGGCCAGTAATGATGTTTGTCTGAGGATAGGGGTCAGAGTTTCGGGACAGAAGCAGACGAAAATAGACTTTGTCACCCTTTCTGTTTGCTACACAGTTGGAGAGAATCAGATGACATGTTTGGCTATTTTCCCCATCAGTTCCATCAGATTGACGTTAGCGGGAAAGGAAAGTATTTTGAGAGGAAGTGCATTATTACATTTTGATTAAAGATTATTAGGACTAACAATTTTTTATTTAAAACACTATGAATAAATCAATAAAACCAATGAATTGTGCACAATAAGACCAGTATAAAAGCTAGTAAATGGTCCATTTTTGATGCCTGACGTAGCCTGCCCATTCAGTATTACTGTACACCCACTTCATCCTTCCTGTGAAACACTACCTTTTTAATGTTTTGGCATATTTTCTGCACAGCTACCGCATACCATAAGGTTTAGAAAAGGTGTAGCGAATCAGCTCATGGGGAAATATGAATAATTAATCATAACTAGTTATAATTAATTATAAATATTTAGATCCGCTGCAGATATTTACTTGACCTCTCAGGGTCAACTGTCTGTCAATTCTAAGAACGTCAATTTCCTGATTAAGGGAAATAACTTTCTTACTGTACAACTCTACACAGAGCCTGCAGCATAAATCTGCATGATTAGGGACTCCAGTTATGAGCAAACAATGGTCTGTGACGATTTGTTAATCTAATGAATAACTGATTTGTTAAATCAAATGAAAAATTGTGTGTTTGATTGGTCCAGACGCTACAAAGGGTACGATGACTTGTTATTCTTTGTAAGCCATTGGCAGGAATCTGCCTCTTCTCACAGCTGGAAGTCTGTAGAAGAACAGCTGTGCCTGTCCAATAGATCAAAACATTTATGGCATCACATTTCCCTGTGAAATCTGCATACTTTTCCCAAATTTGCTGAATTTGGTAGCGGTGAGAGTCTGTCTGCCTGCTCGCCCCACCCTCTCGCAAGTGAGCGCACGAGGCAGAACCTGTAGCTTTCAGAGTTCATCGGTTTCATTCGCTCCATTGCAGACCCGAGGGCCCCTCTTGGAAGATCATATACATATTGTTTATAGATGGGTATTGGCTGGGCCAAAGTCAACGTTTTCTTATCAAGATATAATTGTAACCAGTTTTCATATCAAGGAAGTGGTCTTTAAATTACAATGCTTAAGTGAAACTGTAAACGGAGCATCAAAAGAGCAGAGATGAGAAAGAGTTCCTCAGAAGATCCCATGTCTGTTTCTGTGTAAAGAGAGAGGGGAGAGAAAACGAGAGAAGGGGACGGGTGGACAGAGAAAAAAGGAGGGAATATGGGACTGATTAAGATTTCTGATTAACACATTTGAAGAAAAACAAACTGTGAAGCAAAATGGTTTTCAGCTTTATTCAACAATACAAAATATGCCAGCAAGCAGTCTGATTAAAAATATATAAATACAACATTGATTTAAATAGTCAGCAAGGGTGGTGGTATTGTTTATACTTCTATAAAACACATACTTCAATTATTAGGTTTCTGATTGTATTTGTTTTTGTTTGCAGGTTAAAATGAACAGCATTTATTTAAAATTGAAATCTGTGACACCATAAATGAATTTACTGTCACTTTTGATCAATTTAATGCACCCTTGCTGAATAATAGTATTAATTTCTTAAAATATTACTGACCCCAAACTTTTAAACCGTGTTGTAGCTTTGCAATGAGGCACAAAATGACAAGTTTAAATAACAAATTTTATTTAAAAAAAAAAGATTTGTATAAAAAGGCTATGTACATCTTATTTCAAATGATAAATAAAGGGATACTGAAATACAGTTGCCATTTATGTACTGTATATGATGTGTTAACAATAGGTGCAAATACACACATTTAACATTATGCTCATTAAATCTAGCACCATAACTTGTTTAGCACATTTGGGGAAAAACCATTTAAAAAAATCTGAGGTCTGCAAAGACATATTAACACAGTAAGAGATGCAGTCTATGACAAAATTAAAAATAATATTTTACAGAACAGAATTTAACAGAAAATACAATTTCAATAAATGAAGTCATGTTGACCAAGCTGAATCTATGGGGGGGAAAGGGATAAATAGCTCTTTATATCCCCTCCTCCATGTCCAGATTACTGCAGAGTACTGCCTGGTAGATTTCCTAAGTGCTTGTGTGATGCAGTTCAAAGAGTGAAATCTACACAATGCAATAGTGTGCCACTGTTATGCATGCATTGTAGAGACTATACTGCTGAAATCATAATAAAATGCATGTACAAATGATAAAATCACCATTAAATGACAGCTTTCTAAATAAAAACACACTTAAAAAAAAAAAAAAAAAAATTAAGGGGCACTTACACATCAAACATGTTTCCATGTTAATCCGCCTCAACATTTCATGAGGGTACAGCATGATTAGCCATCTCACTAAATGCTCTTTCCAGGGGTTGCAAAATGCAGAGTTTTTTCCAAATGATTTCTAATCAACATTCCACGATTTCGAAGCCCCAAGAACACGTTTGTAAGCTTTAAGCATGTGGAAACCTTCCAAAAAGGAAGACCCAAAGCAAAGCATTTCCAAGAATGCAAGTGAGTGTATTCAAACCAGCAAAGTACTGTTGTGTTCCAGCTCAGTTCAAGAAGAGCTAGCTTAACATCTGAACCGAAGCACCAAAAGCCAAGGGTTAATAGATATGACATCACACAAAACGGGCTGCATGAACTAAAGTAAATTGATTGCATTGATTTAATGGATCGTTCACCCAAAAATGAAAATTCTGTCATTATTTACGAGATATTTTGAATGTTGTTCCAAACCTGCATGAACAAAAGAACATACTTTGAAGAACGCTGGTAACCAAATAGTTGTTTCCTACGGACTTCTATTGTATTTTTAGTCCATGCAATGGAAGTCAATGGAAACGGTTTGGTTACCAACATTTTTCAAAATATCTTGTTTTGTGTTCTGCAGAATAAAAAAGTAAAAAAAAAAATAAAAAGTGTCATACAAGTTTGGAACGACATGAAGGAGTAAATGATGACAGACTTTTTTCTGTGGGACACAAAAGAAAATATAAACCAGAACGATTTAGCAGTTTCTGTGCGTACAATTAAAGTCAATGGGTTCAAAAACTTTCAAACTCCAAAAAGGACATAAAGGAGGTGTGAAATTATTCCATATTACTTTTCTGACTTTCATAATGTACACAAAAACAGCTGAAAATTATCTAGTTCTACAAAATCTTATTTTGTCTTCCACAGATGAAAGAAAGCCATACGAGTTAACGAACAAGTAAATCACAGAATTTTCATTTTGGGTGAACTAGCCCTTTAAGACTATTAAAACTAGTCTGGCACTACAGACAATTTGCAATGTTAGACTTGCCAACAAAGCCTGATGGGAGTTTTGGCAATTGCGCCTTGTGTTCTCCGAGTACAGTTAAGCCCCGTTCACACCAAGAACGAGAACTATAAAGATAAAGAAAAATATCGTCTCTTTATTCCAAGCGCACGTTCGTTATAGCTGTGGTGTGTACTCTGCTATTCTTTAACGATTTTTAGAACTATATCTTTATCGTTATCGTCCTTGGTGTGAATAGGCCTTTACAGTTGAATACTGCAAGCACCAATCATGTCTTGACAGATCACAGTAGAGTCCCTCTCAGGAAATAAACCATTGGGTTTATACACAAAACCATATAATACATGGTATAAACATTGAAAAATAAGTTATGTACATATCTTAAAATGCTGCCTTGCAACCCATGGTCCTATATGGCCCATATATATATAAAAAAAAAAAAAAGAAAAAAAACAGGGTGATGCAGGAATGTTGTGCAAATTCCCATGAGGGACAGCGTCTCTGTGATGGGGCATGTGCATTCTGTCTATCTGTGTTTATTTAAACCAGTGCAGGTAATTGGAGTTCACAGCAGGGAAGCACATGTTGTTACTGCATGATCCTCCATAGCTCGGAGGGCACATGGAGCAAGGAACACCTACTTTATACGGGGCCTCACCAATCCAGTTACCCCTGTAAACAACAATAGCAACAACTGTCAATGATACACCAATGGACAAAGTGAACCACATACGTTTTCATATTTAAAATTGTGCTTTATGAGGTGTTTGATAGTTTGAAAAGGACATAAATGCAATTACTAGACTTCACATTTCCATTTCTAACTGCGTTTCTACATTGAGAAGACAAGCTTTAAATCAATCTGGATCTACTTTAACTAGCTCTCAGCTAGCAAGTCGGGTCTTAACTAGAGTTTATAAATAACTTGCTCTGCAGTAGCCTAAGAATTTGCTCAAGTGCGTCGCCTCAGAAGACTGAAAAAAGGAGGTCACAAGTCAGTCACAAGTCACCAGCCACACAAGATTATGGTGCTTTGATTCTGGAATTAGAGGTAGAATTCCACTAAAATTCCACATACGGCAGGAATGCAAGAGGTCGTCTAAGTCTTTGAACCAGAAGGCCCCATGGATGTCCACGTCAAAATTTTTTAACAGAGACGTGTCAGGTTGCTAGCTTAGCCTAATTATGTTACTGAAGATTTTCACTCTTGGGTTTAGCAGTTTAGCTTAGCTAAAGCACAAGAAAACATATACTTACTTTGGAGAATAGTTGCACACCAAGTATGTTGCCCTCTTCCATACTGAGCCCCAAACATTCATATTATGGCATGTGTTGATGGCACATCCTACTTTATTTGAGGTTGCCCACACCATCTGGTAAAAACATAAGCAAAAAGTGAGCAACGGTCAAATTTGAATGATATTTACCACCGTTCAAAAAGTCTCCTATGCTCACCAAAGTTGCATTTATTTTCTTAAAAATACAATAAAAACAGGAATATTATTTTAATTTAAAATAACCATGTTCTATTTTAAAAAGTAATTTATTCCTGTGATGGCAAAGCTGAATTCTCAGCAGCCTTTCCTCCAGTTTTTAAGCGTCTCATGGTCCTTCAGAAATCATTCTAACATGCTGATTTGGTGAAACATTTCTTATTATTATCAATGTTGAAAACATTGATAATAATGTAGTGTTAATTCTTTTTTCCAGAATTCTTTGATGAATATAAAGTTCAAAAGAACAGCATTTCTTTGAAATAGAAGTCTTTTAAATGTCTTTACAGTCACTTTTGAACAATATAATGCTCCTTTGCTCAATAAAAGTATTCATAAAAAACCCACATGCATATAAATAATAAAATACATATATAACTGACCCCAAACTTTTGAATGGTTGTGTACCTGAAGAAATTAATTATACAAACATCATCATAATCAACTCACTTGTGTATAATGAGTGCACATAGGCCCGTAGCACTTAAGAGGACATCTGGGATTGCAGTCTCGAGGATAGGGAAAAGAATAGTCCTTCACTTCATCATACCAGGGCTTTACCAGCTGCAAAATGGACCTGTATCTGTAAACAATCCAAACATAGCATCAAAATCTCATTATGGTGTTATGAAATGCTTTCCTTGCTCTTTCAGGCCCAAATGGCCATTGGTATAGTGGAAAATAACCATAGGAAACATCACGGATCATAAACTGGGAATGATGATGGTGAAGATGCATACCTTCCTGTTCGGACTGAAAGGTTCTGACCCAGAAATCTAAGAAGATTGCGAGGACCATGCTCCCAAATGCACAAGGACGCCCACTGTTCAGCCATCTTTGCAAGAGTGTCATCCCAGACCTGAGACATGTAATACACTTTTATCAGTCCACTAAAATAAATTCATTTATTATTTGAATAATTGCAGAAATTATTCTTCATTTTAATGATAGGTTTCTTAAAATTCCCACCCACAGAAATGAAATTATGTCCACAATAGCACAGTTTCCCCAAACAATAACACTGATGGATATGCATTAACAAAAATTTATTTTATGCTGGAAAATTGTAGTTGTATTCACCACAGTAGATCATTCAATAAGCTTTAACCCTTTAATCTTGGTAAAATCAGAGAATTATTAAAGAAAATCTAACATTTGGGTCTACTGAAACATATCTGATACACTACAGCATTTGCCATGACTGTGCACTTTTGGAAGTATTTCAATGCTTAGCTGTAGTCTTAGCACATTGATCTATGCTGCAGAGGATCTACTTTGGTGGTCCGAGCCAATTAAATCTGCTCAACAGCTGCTAGTGCCAAATGGACACGGAGAAGTATGTCATTTCTGCATCCTGTGATGAGCGCAGTTACATGTGCAACACTCACGTGTCCAACTACAACAGCAGCAATGCGCTTTCCAGGCAAAGTGCCAGGTAATTATACAATGAAATAAATAAAACAACTGAACCCAGTGAACTGCTGTGAGGGTGTAGAGCAAAAGTTCAAACAAGCAGAATTTTTTTTCTAAAGTCCAAACTGTTCCTGATTGTATCATAGGCTACTTATTTCAAAAATGTAAAAGTAATTATTGTAAGTGACTTACCATATATTCCATGTTTGAGGCTGGGGGGAAAACTTTCCCTCTGACTTTATTATGGTAATCAAGTATCGCAAGCATATCGTTCTGGGAAATATAACGTTTCCGTCTGGTTTTGGGAAGGTTTGCGGCCTCAGTGAGATATTTTGGAGGCACAGAGCCAATATCAGTGAAATTGGTTGCTGGAAGAGATGAAGAGGCAGTGGGACTGAAGGCTGCCAGTGCACTTGCTCCACAGGATATACACAAGAGCAGAATGTCGATAGCCAAGCGGTTTTCATTCATGATTGATGGCTGGGATGTGGCGAGAGGTTTCTATTCCTTTTGCACAATCTGCATGTGAAACATAAATGATTGCCATTCATTAGAGAATGCAATAAACTGTATTATGTCATTTGACCCTTCCATAAAGCCAACAATATAAATAAATTTTTATCATTACTACATCTTTGCTTTCAATTTTTTTTCAGAATACTTTATACCATTTCTACTCAATTGTATGAGTTCAGGAATTAAATTCATATTGATTGTAAAAGTGCAATAAACTTATGAATGCAGGTTTTAACTTTGACACCACTTTTCAAAATAAGGCAGCAAATAAAAGTCTTCAATATTACTGTCAACATTAGTCACCAGTGTCATAAAAAAAAATTTAAAAGCTGACTGAAAATTCATATAAACTTGTATTGATTTTTTCAGAATACTTTATACCATTTCTACTCAATTGTATGAGTTCAGGAATTAAATTCATATTGATTGTAAAAGTGCAATAAACTTATGAATGCAGGTTTTAACTTTGACACCACTTTTCAAAATAAGGCAGCAAATAAAAGTCTTCAATATTACTGTCAACATTAGCCACCAGTGTCATAAAAAAAATGTTAAAAAAAATTAAAAAGCTGACTGAAAATTCATATAAACTTGTATTGATTTTTGCAAAAGGATTTGACATGTATAGAAATAAAAACAGTTTTCCTTAAAATAACTAACATGAAATTCAACTGGTCATTCAATATTTATCTCTACACACATTTGCCTCTACAATCCACGCATCAGTTTACCAACATACAATCGAAGTATAAAGATTGCTCGAGCACAAAAATGTTCCTACCTTCTCAGAGATGCTAGAGCAGCCTGTGGATATAAACACGTCTCCTTATTGCCTGAGTCTGTCCAGCAGCAGCTTTGCTTTGACTCTCTGTGAACTCAAGAGTTCTTTCTCTCTCTCTCTCCCTCTCCCTGCTGAGAAGCGCTGCGGGTTTATATACAGCGGAGGTACCGGTTCAGGAAGTGTTCCGGCTTTGAAGGTGCGCGGGGTTCCGCCCCATCCGTCACCTGAAGCGTGACATCACATCATCTGAGACGTAATACTGCGTTTCTTTTATCCATTTCCAGGCAGATCCAAGCAGGCTTAATCAAAACATCTGCTTTTAGTTTGCACAGCTGGCGTGAGTAGAAAAGAAAACAGAAGATAAGCAAGTGAATAATCCTGTGACCCCGAAATGCAGCTTAGTCCATTGCAATTAATTAGAGGCTCCAAATTAACAAATATATGAGTATTAATAAACCAAGGAGTGTTGTAACTAATTTTGATTAAATGCATGTAACTGTTTTTAGTACAGGGTGTCTCAGATATTAATATAATGGTCTGATATTTATTTACTTAAAATTAAAGTCTTTTAGAAATCTACAATTTACAATAACTGTAAAAATTATTAGTACAAAAAGCATGAAGAGTGCTGTTGTCACAACCTACCACTCTTGCAAACTGGTTGTAAAACTAAAAACACTGATGTACCCTTTTAAAGTAAGAAGAAAAAAGAAAAAGAAAAGATGGCCCTCTTTTGTGTGGTGAACTAGGACTTTATTAAGCCACATATTCACAAACCTACTGGAATAACTAGGAGGCAGTGCATGATATACAACACTTTAATAAACAAGAATGTAAAACAGAGTAATTCACATTTTAGACACATTTATTCCCAGTTACTTTGTTTTTACACCAACAAAAACTGTTCCAAACAAACAACAGCAAAACAACTGCGAATCACAGTAGCGCTGTTCATTCTGGATGAATTCAGTGTTGAGTGAATTATTTAATGATTTAATGATCACTTGTTTCATTCCTAAATTATTCAGTGTTTTTTAACAAGTCGTTTGAGTGAATTATTTAATGACTAATTTTTATCACTTGTTTCATGACTGCACGATTCAGCTTTTTTGAACTAACTGCTTGAGTGAATTATTCAATGATTCATTTTCATCACTTGTTTCGTTTTTGCATGGTTCTTCAGTGTTTTTGAACAAATCCTTTAATAACTTCAATAAATAAACCTTCAATAAATCCTTCATAGCCCATTTATATAACTTGCTTTATTCCTGAAGTGTTTTTTTTTTAAACAAATCATTGTTAGAGATGAGTAAAATCTGAGCAAAACGAATCACCTTGAGATGCATGCAGGTAAGAAATCTGTCCAACTGTTGTCTGACTTTGATGCTGACATGTGTAAAAAATCTCTGAAAAGTGTTTTTTTAATGAATCGGTTAAATGAATTATTGAACAATCAGTCATTGTCTGTGCTGATGGCCTCGTGGCCAGCGAGGTTTGAGTCCCGGCTCATGGACCTTTCCCAATCCCATCCCCCCCTCTCTCTCATACTTTGTTTGCTGTCCACCTGTCCTATCTCAATAAAGGCATAAAATACCAAATATATATATATATATATATATATATATATATATTTTATTTTTTATTTTTTTAAATAAAAGAATCACTCATTAAGCCGCCACCCAACCCATAGAGAAATCCCCACCACCATTTCACAAACTATGTCTGCCTGGAACAAACACAGACAAGTGAAGTGATATAAACAGTGAAAAGTCCTAGTGCTGTTGTACTTTTATATCTGCACTGTTGGAGTGCTCCTCAACCAATTAGATTTGAGGACTGTCAGGTAATACAACTCAAGTTATGTGGGTCGCCTATACCATATTATGCCTAGCATCCATATGCAGTGTTATTCTCTTGTTAATCAATCACTTAAACTGAGTTTGTTTTTAAAGACTATAAACTGGTTTAAAGGTCTGTCTGTTAAACTGCACCATAAAGTATATAGGTACAATACAACAATAGTCTTATACTGGCTTAAATGGTCAGTAATTAGGACATTCAAGAATAACGGGGAAGTCCAGCAGTTTTATACTTTGGGGCTATTGCTCTCCACTTTATTTTCTTTGTCTTATTTATAATAATTCATTATATTGTACAGATTGCACTTGTTCAGCGTCGGAATCAAGCCAATCCAGTGTGCCATAGCAGTTAGTGAGCCAAGAGCAAAACCCCCTCAGCAGTTGAATCATTTTCTTTGGCAGCCGGAGGACAAATTAAAGCAACGTGACGCAGAAGCAGCCCCATCCTCCACACAAACGGCAGTGGTTTCCAAACTTTCTTGGAAGTGATAGTCTTTAAAGCCTAGAATTGTGAGAAATGAAACCGACATACAGCTACATTGTGAAAGCTGTTGTTTTTTATCGGACAGTCTGTGCTCCCTGTGGGAAAATCATAGTGTTAGATCTACCCCATATGTCTAGATTGGTACACCATTTAAAAAGAAATGTCAATTGTGTAGTAACATCGACAGTCAAAACAAATTCACCCTCCCCCTGCGTCAAAACATCAACCTCCATCAGCAGGCCAATCCAAATTCAGTGTGAACATACTAATAAACAGCCTTTACTATGACCTCATTGCACCTGCCCTCATTTTACTGATGCACGCTGGACAGATGTTCATTTATGCACACCACACACGCTTCGGCCATCTCATTTAACAGAAAAGATATCTGTCGTCTCCTTACTTGACCAAGGATTCATTCCTTGCGTTGTTGTAAGACAAGGGAATATCCATTAACCATCAAAAAATGTGGTCTCCCTGTGTTATTTCAAGTCTTTCAGGTCTCTCAAATCCAAATGTTAATCTATAACATCAACAGTCACCACTGCCACAGGTAATTAGACCACGTTTAATGATCACACAGTAAAACAAACAATCACTTCTCATTTGTGGGGGATGGTCTAAGAGTAGAGGACTGTTACGAAGAAGCCCACTCTTTTCAGACAGAACATTTATTTACTTATTGCCTCGTTCCAAGTTTCCCCTCACGCTCCCTCTCAGGGGCCTCGCGGAAGCTCTGCTGATGCCAACAGGGTTAGACGCAAAAGAGGCTACACATGATGGGGTTCATCAGTGTGCTTTCGGCCCATGCGTTCAGACACAGACTCACAGCTGTGAACTCCACCCGAAGGCTTTAGTTTCTTCTCTGGCAGAGAACAGCATGTCTAGGAAAATCACTTAGCAGTCATCGGTGTGTGAATGAAACTAAAACACCACTGCCTCCAGACTAGCAAAGCCAGAGTCTGCCCTCAGGGGTCGAATTTGAGAGCTACACTGCAGCTGTGATTTGATTCGAACAGTCACTGAGAATTTGTTTTTGTTTGTAGTCATTGAAAGGCCCAGACTTTCAGGGATCTTTTCCAGTGTGGAAATCATTAGTATGTTTTGTGCTTAAAAATTGGCACATCTAGTACTTATTGAGATGATATATAGACGTAAGCATAAGGTGGAGTGTCAATACATAGCCATATCGTATATAGTATATAATATATAATATATAGTCATATATACAGTGCCTTGCGAAAGTATTCATCATTTTTTTCATGTTTTGTTATGTTGCTGCCTTATGTTTAACTGCTTTAAATTACTTTTTTCCCCACATCAATCTACACTCCATACACCATAATGACAAAGCAAAAACAGAATTGTCACAACTTTGTAAATTTATTAAAAATAAAAAAACTGAAATAAGTACATTGCAAAAGTATTCATACCCTTAACTAAATATTTAGCTGAAGCACCTTTACAGCCTCAAGTCTTTTTTGTTTGATTCGACAAGCTTTTCTCATCATCATTTGGAAATTATCTGCCATTCTTCTCCTCACCTCTTCACCTCTCAAGCTCTGTCAGGTTGGATGAGACACACATTTTCAGGTTTCTCCAGAAATATTTGATTGGGTTCAATCCCAGCTGTGGCTGAGCCACTCAGGGACATTCACAGAGTTGTCTATAAGCCACTCTTGCTGTGTGCTTAGGGTCATTGTCCTGTTGGAAGGTGAACCTTC